TTGCGGAGAAAACACTTTGGGAAGGGGAGGGGTTGCCAGCACTGTAATACCGAGTAACGATACCAAGAATGTTCCCATTGCCAAGTCTGAACTGCAGCCTGCTGCAGCTTTGCCATCGTGATGTAGGCAATGGTCATCAAAACTATCTTGTGGTAGTACACTAGCAATGTTGCTTGTATGATGATGGTGATGACGATGGGGGGTAACCTACCAACACAAGTAATGTAGACACGGGAAAGAAGTGAAACGGATGGTGGTGGTAATATACAATGCACCCATTCATTGTAGCCACCATTACAGCAAGACATGAAGCAATGAGCCTCTGCTTCAGACCTGTAAATATGTGAAGTCACAATTATCCTGCATGAAACAAGAACCTACAACCCAATCTTTAAAAAAAAAATCTGACAGTTCACAGCACTTAGTAACAGCAGTATCAATTTTCTTAACTGCAATGATTACCTCGCAATCTGTAACTCCCATTACACAATATACAGAGTGGGTAGGAAGAAAGTAGGCATTAAATAATCGCTATAGGTTTTGTAATATTAATGCTGGTGGATGCCGCCGGTGCCTACACTGAATTTTAAGCTATGCATCCATATTCCCATTTAAAAAGGTACATGTAAAAATTATTTTAATTATCTTTGCATTGGAAATATAGAGGTTATAACCATTTCTCAATGCCTACTTACTTCCCACCCACCCTGTATATTACAACAGAGCATGAAAACAGGATCTTTTGTATTTGTCATGTTGAGAAATTTATACTACACAGCAGTATTCTTAAAATGCAGAAAAAAAAAAAGGTCACCAAAATCAGTCTACCGACTCACAAGTTATTTTGTAACACTACCTCAACTGTAGAGTTCTCTAACCTCCAGACATCAACAACTCTCGAAGATTAGGCCCTGTGGCTGGCTCCAATTCAGAATTACTTCCAAAATTACAAATCAGTTTAGACATCCGACAGGACTCCTTCGATGCGTGGCCCGCCTGTCACAAGGACTCTGACATAAAGGGGTAAATGTGCACAATGAACTCAAGAGGGTAGGAGAGAGTTAGGTCATATCCTATTCCAAGAAACTATCTAAGTATTCACCTGAACATTCCAGAGGAAAACCATGAACACCTCAGTGAGGAAACTCAGTTCCCTGTCCAAGATTCAAATGAGGCACTTCCTAAATACAAGCCAGACATGTAGGGTGCGGCAGAGGAAACGCATGTTTTTCAAATAACAATAACTCAGTTGATTTTCAAGTTAAAAAAATTTTAATTACACAAAAAGAAAGGTTTTAATATGCAGTTTTTGTCGAACACTTTTGAATTACTTCCGAAAAATAACGTCCGTCAAGTGACGCCCTTCCTTCTGCACGCACTCTTTCAGCCTCTCCTCAAAATTCTACATTGCAAAGCTAAAGCTTGGCACCGAGCAGAACGCCTCGGGCTTCTGAGAACTGCCGATCTCACTCTCTCAACATTCTCAGGGTTACGCACAGACGCGGGAAGGCCAGGTGGTTTCCTCTTCATCACAGACCCTGTTGTCCTAAACGCATCAACCCATCTGAGTATCGTGTTACGATCAGGGATGTTTCCACGGCGCTCCACATTGAACTGTTTACGGAAAAGGCGCTGAATGGCAATTATGGATTCACCACTTTTGAAATAATTTTCAACGACAAACACCCGATGCTCGTGGGCCCACGGTGCCATGGCTAATGAAACTGCATCATCCTAGCCGAGTACTAGCCATTCAAAAAACATGCGTTTCCTCTATATAAACACATGACTTACTTGCTTGATTGCTGCATTCCATTCCGATTCACTTGAAAACTATGAAATTAAATACAGTGGACGCACAGACATCATACAGAATGCCTGGTAACTTTAAACCAATATTAAAATTCAGCATTATCTGTACCTTAAGTAGATCAGGGTCATCCATGTGTCTACCAGCACTTAAAATTCAATGAGGTAGTTCCTCTACTCCACTCCACATGTATTTTTATGTGTTCAGTATTACGACTATGACAATGGTGTAAAATTTTAATGTTATATCACACATATTTAACCTAGTGCAAATCCGTATGAGTGAAAATTAAGTACAAAATGAATCACTAAATTGTGCAATTATTACTATGTAGTTCCTGCTAGCAACAACATACAGTATATGATGCAAAATGGGTATTTTAAGTTCCTTTCAGAACAAAACAGAAGAGAAAACTAAATTCACCTGACAAATAATCTCCCAAAGCAAACTTAATCCAAATTCATCAAGTATATCTGGAATTAATGCATGTGGATGGACAGTACCCAAAAATGGTATTAGCTTTTTGGTTTGTTTTACACATTACATTATCTAATTAACAAATGTAAGGATACTGACAACAAACAGTATATAATGTTTTATTCATACGATTACTTCTCAAACAGAAGCGAGCTACTAGAAAAGGAGACGAAATATTACGACAATAAAATATCAATCAGTATGGTCAATGAATGAGGCTTACCTCATGGTGCATTGTGTGACATGATACTTGAGGACTGCTCATGAGTGAGCGTTGGTGTTGGTGTTGGTGTGGGAATTACTGGTTTGATTGCCCTGTTGTGTTGGGGATGCCAGTGGCTTCTTGTCATCTCCGCCTGGGGTTGGTGGAGCATCTTTTCTTGGAGGCATTCTCTCGTTGATGGCGTCCAGTCCCTTTGCCTCAGCAAATGATGTAATTTTGTGATTTGGTGAGAAACCTTGCAGTGCTGAAAATATAAATGATTTTTATCAACTGTCTTCACAAGTCACAAAATAAGAAATGAAATATCCAATTAATTCTTTAAGCAATAAAATTTATTCAGTCAGTTACAAAACACTTTTATTAAAATCCTCTGAGGTGATCAGATGAACAGCACTTTATTATGTTGTTTTAACGTAATATTATCCTGTGATCTCTACCTATAAAGTAAAGTAAAGCTGTCCCACTATACGCCATGTAGGCGCTTGGGGGGAGTGGAGGTATAGCTCCTACTCATTCTTGACCTCGGCACTAGATGGGGGTAAGTGGTCAGCATCACGCCCCGGCCGGCTTTACCCCCGGTATCCATTGGATAGGAGGCTGGGTGGGACCCAGAGCCGGTCTGGATGCAGAGGCTAGAGGAAAAATCCTCTGCCCCGTAGGGGATCAAACCCCGGTCGCCCAGTCCGTAGCCAGTCACTATATCGACTGAGCTACACTGGCTCTGATCTCGACCTATGTCTCCCATTATGAATGGTAACTTACCATTTTTGAGTGATGTCTTGCCACCAGACAACGCTCCAAGAGGCAGGGACCCTGTTGGAGTCAATCCCTTCAGCTGAAGTACACTCTCACTTTCCTCTCTGATAAAAGAAAAAAAACACAAAACTTTGTACACCTCAAATTACAGCAATAAGATGACTCTAACAAAATAATTACAACAATAACCAACTAAAACTAAGACGGGTGGAGTGGGAAAAATTCTCATACACCAATTTTAATCAAGATTGATTCAAATGTTCAAGTTATGTCATGTATATGGACAGACAGAAAGATGGATACAGTGATTTTAATAGACGCTCTGTAGGATCCTGAACATGCATAAAAATGTGTAGAACTTTGGATCCACATCGCTTGTATACATTCAAGGGGTCTACATTAAAAGTTGTCACAAATTTAATTTTGGTTCATACTGGTCAAATATAACCCATACTTTATTTCAAGCTTAAATAAAAATTACCAATAATTTAAAAGTGCTCATTACAAATATACCGTTGTAACATAAAATATATGGATGTCACTGCGATCCAAAAGTTTCAGCCTATTTTAAGCATTTTTCAATACAACAAAATAAATGGAAAAATTATTTCCTATGCAATGCAACTATTTTCACAGAATACATACGTGTGTAATAAATGAAAATCAATGTCCATGTAGTATGAAAAACAACAGGGAATTATTTTATGTATTCCACTGGAGAACATCTTTCTAACCTTGTTACAACCATCCTGCAAAATACTGAACTATTTGGTTACAATGCACTTATGTAGCTAGCTTACATGAATAGACACCTCATACAGAATATACTACAGATAAAATGAGTTTCAAAGTCTTACCTCAGCACAGAGAAGACACGGGCCATCTTGCCAATAGCACGAATCTTGTTTCGAATGACTTCTTTCCGCAGGTTGGCGGCTGTACCTGTTAAATAACCATAAGACATTAACATTCTGCTTTGTATTCATCAGAAGAAGACAAAGTGCAATTGCAAATCTGAAACATTTATTGTCTATCGTCATAAAGTGTTCATGAAAATCAGTGATAACACCCGCTACACAAATTAAAATAACACTAATTGTTAAGAACAAATTTGTAAGAATCCACTGAGCAAACACATCAGACATTCATAGATCTGGCAACATCATAACTGCTACAAAACTTCAGAATTCAAACTGGAGTACTGGAATGGTTATAAAAATTAGTATGAAATACAAGGCACAAATGTCTGCCGGGCCCAGTAATAATTATTGTAAATATCTGAAACCAGGTTTCAATAAAGTGACTGTAAAAATTGCAGGATTAATGATTCATCATGTTCTTTCAAAGAACATCTTGTATCAACCATCAAATTAGCAAAGTTATTCAAAGTAGCATAGTATACACAGCATTTTGCAGTTATCACAGCAGACAAATTCATAAAAGGGCATGCTCTAGTTGATTAGAATTTACTTCATGCATGAACATGACATGAAAATGCATGTGTGCATATATTAATTACACCAGATTGTTCCAGTTTTCTCACCAGAATAAATGTTAGACAAATTATCTTTACAATGTAACAATATCAATACTAAATTGCAAACAGTAAAACAAACATGCACATAAAATATGTTACATAATTGTGACTACAGACTCTACTATTCTTTCGCTGAAAATTGTACCTATTCAAGGAAACAACCATGCACTAAAGATAATAAATTAGTAGCATATTCACTAATCACCATGCAGAAACATTATTTAACCCTTTAAATGCAAAGTTTGCTTAAATAATATCTAAGAATTCAGTCTAAACCATAGAGAAAATACTTCACTATGAGAATCAATGACTTTGAAAGAATGTGGAACGAAGAAGCCATAGCCTAATTAAAGGTACTTTTCTGGCAGTTACCCTGAGAGATTGAGGGAAAACCATGAAAAATCTGTCAGTATAGCTGATTATAGAGCTAAGATTTGAGCCCGGGACCTCCCAAATACGAAACAGGAGCGTGAGCGTTAACCACTCAGCTGTAACATTTTACATACACAGATCTTCCAACTATATCTTTACCATATCAACATATATTCTGGTGTTCATGTTATTCAAATTGCATTTCAAAACTAATCAACTAATAAATGTTATGAATACAAAATACTAACATGCCCAATAGAAACTAAACACAATCACTGTAACAAAATGCTGCTACAACAGGTACCACTTACGCACATAAAACATCAACATATGGTTCATGAAGCAGAACATTTCCATAACTAGAACAGAACCCACGACCCATAATGTGATAATTTCAATGGAAACACTTGGCCTTCCTATAACGTGTATTCGAAAAAGTGATGTGCTATGTTAATTACCATTACCTAAAGCAAAACAGGATTTGAGGTCCTCACGGCAGCAAGCATAAAGATGGTTGTCTTCTGGGTAGTAGTGCCATGTAGTCTGGTATAAGTTTAATGGTGTTACAGAGGTACATTCTGCCTCAATCATCAGGACAATGCAGCAAGTACCTCTGAAACGGTGGTACACTTCTACTAGATTACATGGAACTACAACCCAGAAGACAACCACCTCCGTAACTGAATCAAGTTTTACATCATAATAAAAATTATGGAATAAAACTGTCAATTCATAAGCCCAAAAGCATTAAAAGAACCACAACCCAAACTATCTGAAGTTTTCACAGTAAAGCAAAACAAGCTGAAGAAATTTATATTATAGAAGGGCTAAGCATATACAAGATTACTGAATTTAACAACTTCTCTTGTGTGTTAAAATGGTAAATTACATAACTTCATTTCAAATAAAATCACTATACATCAAATCACACCAAATGTATTATAAGTACATTTCTAATACTATATACACTATAATTTACACATCTATCTAATAACTTGGATAAATTAATATCACAACTACACCAATCAGTACTAGCAATACTTCTGTTGTTTGCATATGGTTAGTTAGAGCCAAGAATGCACACTTATGAAGCAGGAGTGGGAACTGTGTGAAAACATTCATCAAACATTCAGCTATCATGAAGTTTACTCTAGTCTGGATTTATTTTTGAACATCAAATTGTCGACAATGAAAAGAACCACACACGAAACCAGCCCACACCCTCAAAAACTCAATTTCTTTAAAATCCATTTAATAGTATCCTCCCATCTATGTGTAGGTCTTCCAAGTGGTCTCCTAACTGCAGGTTTTGTGACTGGAATTATTTTCTGTTCATTTAACATACATTCCAGACATGCTACCAGATGTGCATCTAAAATGAAATTTGAGGTTTCCACAGCATAAAAAATTTGGGTTATGACTCCATTTATCCTTGTACATGGCTACTAATATTTTTAATGAAGATACAGAGCTGCCTCCATCTTCCCTAATTTAAGAGAAGCCGCGTGATATGTAAAAGGTATATATTAATATAATGCACACACATACTAATAAGCCATTAAGTGTGAAGAATGCCCCTATATAGTCTGCTTCTAGGCTTGAAACCCAACATAAGAGGCTACCAGATCCCACACACAACTAAAACCAAAGTTTCCCTGTGAAATAAAAGTCTGCATCATCTAAATGCATTCTACTTGTACAGATTTTCCACACATCAAGCAATAACTACACTGGTCATACAGGGTGAGTCAGAAGTATGTTTACAAACTTTGTGTGCATGTTCCAGTATCAAAAATAAGAAAAAATGTTCCTGTGAACATGGGGTCGCAAATGTTTCATTTTCGAAATAATAGCCAAAAATAATTTTCAATGTATGCCTTTATTGCCAAGTATAAGGACAGGGATGTTTCTTTATAACAGATGCTCAAAGGTTGTTCCTCCATTCTCCACACATGC